GCCTGCACAAAAATTCAATCTTTTGTCCATATTTTAATAAAAATCCTTTTTTGGCCAAGAATGTTCAGTCAAGATGGCTGTATATGGGTGTTGTTCCTTTCTGGCATTCCTTGCACCCTATCTGCAAACATATTTGTGTCGTTTTGTTCAAAACAATGTTAATGCACTTCTATAATATTCAGTGCAGCAGAACTGTCGACACATTTACAATACCATTTTTGTTTTCCAAATGCCAGTTTATGTGTTTTATTTATAACAGCCTTGTTTCATGTATATCTTTTAAGCATGGATATTAGTATTGAAGATGACGAAAGGACTCTAACCATGGTGGAACCAGATTTTCCATTGTCATCTGATGACAAGAAGGACAACCCCGCAGAGATTCCCAAGCAGCTGCTTGTAGCTCCTGAACCTGTATTAACTGCTCTGGAGACTGAAGTACATGTTCCACTACTAACTGACAAGCAACAGGTACCCGAGAATCCCCAGCCACAATTTGACAATGTATCACCTCCTGATGGTCATAATCAGGAAACCATTGCTGAAGGAAATACCTCAACCAAAGCTGAAGATAACAAAGATGAGATACTGAGGCTTCTTCAGAAATCCTTTTCTGACTTGACAAGTGTCTCGGACCTTCAGTCCTTTTTGTTCCTTTACTCAAGGGTACGAGTAATGGTTTCAGTAGAAAAGCTCCTAGAGTTAAATGGAGAAACATGTGTGACAGCAGTCAACACTGGTGATACCACCATAGTTTGTGGGGATAAGGTGTCATATAATGTGACAAGCTGTGGCTCCAGAGTTGAAATTGTGTGGAAGTGCAAAAAAGGTCATTGCAAAAAATGGGAATCATCTGAGGTTCTTGTCACCAAGAGGAGTTCCAACATTTATCTCAATGATTCCCTTCAAGCTGCTGCTATTATTATCTCTGGGAACAATTATGAGAAGTTTTCCCTCCTTGCAAAGGCATTAAATTTAAATTTAATTAGTGTGTCAACATTTAATCGCTTCCAGAAGCATTGTGCTGAACCTGTGGTGCGTAACATCTGGCAAAAAATGAATTCACTAATCCAGAAGATCCTAAATCACTATGATGAAATATGTTTATGTGGGGATGGTCGAAATGATTCTCCAGGCCATTCGGCACGTTACTGTGTATACACACTCATGGAACATGCCACAAATGTTATTGTTGATTTTGAAGTTGTGGATAGTAGGGAAACTGGTGGCAATTCTGTGAACATGGAGCGCGAGGGGCTTCGAAGGCTGTTGGAGAAAATGGCTTCCACAATGCCATTCAGCGATGCATCCAGTTCCATTATGAAACTTGTGCGCGAAACTAAAGGTATCTTCTCGATCTTAGTGTATCTTTTATGTTGAAAAATGAGTTCATGGTTCGACATACACTCCAGGGTATGAAATACTGTTTCATACTTTATGGAAGAGGAAAAGAACTCTTCTCCAATGTCAAGGCTCGACAGTGATTTTACTTTTTTTGCTGAACTTTGTGTTGGCAAAAATGCTTTATGTGAAATGAATACTAAATTCACTTTTTGAACTAAGGATAAAAATGAACTACTGCATATACCAGTACAATAGCTGTTATTTCACACTTAAAGGAGCTCCACAATTATATTTTCCTTTCAGGTATTTAGTAAATTTGCTGAATTATTATTTATAATATGTACCTATGTAAAAATATCTTTTACAGACAAATATCCACAGCTGCTTGAGCTCTTTCATTCTTTGGATATTTGGCATAAGGCCAAAAAATTGAGCAAGTGTCTCCACCAAGTGGGTATCAGATTTTTTTTTTCACTTGATCATGCCAATCAAATCACACATTTACTGTATTAAACAATATTATTATTCCACTCGCGCTTGTTGGGTATGATCAGTATGAGATGATTATAGCCAACTCGGTGCTACACCATCTCATTTCCAACTAGCGCTTGTGGAATAAAACGCCTACAAAATATCCAGAATTCTTCCCCACTTTATTTATAAAACAACCGATTTTCAGCTTGTTTTTAATTTTGAGCAGACGCATACTTTACCCTATATGGAGAGTATGGTATAATGGCTCATATACCATGATGGCTAAGCCAATCAGAGCTCTAGAACTGCATTATCCAATGATTCAGTTTTTACATGAAATAATAATATCATAAATATCTGTTTCTAAAGGCGGCTTTATGTATTCAGTTGTTTTAAAATAAACAGCCATAATAATAATGTTTATTTATAGGCGGCAAAGATGAAAGGGTGTGAGGCTATTAAGCCATGGATTGAGGACATTGTCAATCACTTCTGGTTCTGCTGCCAGAGCTGTAACAGGGATGTGGAAGAACTGAAGGTCAGTAAAAATGTGACAACTTTTAAAATTATTCAGAGGTGATGGCATGTTGATTTCTTTGTTTTTATTAAAAGCATTTCAAGAACAACTGGTAGTCATAATGGCAGTGACTTACAGGTGTACATGCATGATTGTGTAATTATGTATGGGACCTTTGTTGTTTTGAAATCTGTGTTCCCTAATTACTTTGTTGTGAATTGTATTTGAAATAGGACTCTACTGAATCTAAAACGTTTTCAGGATGTATTAGTAAATCTTACAAATTTATTCTCTTACAGGATACATGGTTTGGCGTTCTACATCACGTGTGTGGTGAGCACAGCTGGGGAGGTGGTGAATGCAAGCATGACCCTGAAACGGTTTCAAACCAAGAAAAAGCTTATCTGCAGAAATCATCTAAGGCGATGGTGGCCTTGAGGAATGTAGTGCTAGACAAGAAGTGGCTGCCCCACATTGCTTTCTATGTTAGGTTCAGGTGAGACAAAGATGGAATCTTGCAGCCCTTTGTTAAGTACAACTTGCAAAGTATATCTTGAGGAAGATACCATTTCATGCCCCGTAAGCAGGCCATCTTTAGTCAGTTCAGTCTACTTGTTTACAGGAGAGGTTTTCAAAACCAAACATATCTTAGGTCTAGCTCAAAAACTTAAAATGTCTTCCACAGTGAGGATGAGAATTCCTTCATTAAGCATTAATGGGAAAAGTCTAAATATTAATTCTAAGTTCTGATAAACATTGTAACTTGTCTCTCTCATGGAAGTGAATTACCGGTAACTATGCAGGACTTCCTCTAACATACACATTTAATAACTCCCTTATGCCACAGACACACAAGTGTTCTTGAGAGCTTTAACAGCATGCTGACAAAGTATGCCCCAAAGAGGTCATCATTTGAGTAAGTATTATTATGTCAAGTATATTGTAGGGTATGCAGTGATGGATACTTTCTGAAAACATATAAAGGAAAACTTTGAAGCAACTGTTTACTATAGGTAGCTTCAAAATAATGGTGTACACTATGCTGATATTCCCACGTCTGCTGTGTGATATTGTTTATCATCCATACATTATGAGATATGCAACAGGAACATACATGTACAGCTACAAAATGTATCTATTTTTTGGCAGCCACTTGCTTACACTGCAAATCAGTTATGTACATTTTAGTGGCAATATTTCAGTCAATGTCCACAAACTTTACATCGTTAATTGGGGTGCCATTCTCTTTTTTTGCTTTTTTTGGGGAAAAATTTACAATTATTGTTTTGATTTTTACTTGTTTTAGGTATCCATTTTTCATCATGAGAATAATGTTAGCTGCTATTGATCACAACATGCATTTGTTTAGAGGGAGTAAAACAAAGGCAGATGGAACCGAGTGTGGGCACCGAAAGTACAGCAAGAGAACTAAAAAATATCATGCAGAACCTGTCAAACAGGATAAAGAGTACAATTACTTTCCCTTCTTGATAGCAAGAATGCTAAAAGAAAGATCCCAGTTCGAGGGAAGCTTCACTCAGCGCACGGACGACAACGCCTTTAATCCAAAGCAGATAGCCCCCGACACTTGGCATGAAAGAACCTCCCCCAACAGAAGTATTAATGAAGGGTCCGTCACGTTTTGAAAAACCTACAAAGTAACAGGCTAAAGAGATTTTCCGGTCTAGTTCTTTGTAAAGTAACATAAAATTCTACAAGCATTTGCAGAGAAAACTTTGTGTTCTCTTGTTCTCTAGCATGGGGCAAGACGAAATATCCAGAATAGATAAAGGAAGGTGTGCATGGAATATGGCCCTAAATAAAACCTGACCTGATGTCAAATTATCCCTTTGATCTCAAGCACGCACAAGGCAAATTAGGAGGACAATCTGGCAGTTTATTAAAAGTAACGTGGGGCTTGGTGCAAGCACCCCTTTCATGTCTTTGAGAATGTGTGGAGAGGATCATGATAATTAATGAGCATCATTATTTGGGTTTGGGCATACATGTACATGACATATTTTATGCAAATGCATGGTGTTATTGCAATAACACCCTATAGGTAAATAAACGTCAAATATGCACTGGTAATCGAAAAGTGTGTCAGAAAACTACTTTTTTTTTTTT